TGTTATGGAAGCAGCAACAAAGGTATCTACAAGTCGATACGGTTCTGGTTTCAGAACAAGATTCTTAAAACACGGAGACGTCGTAACTTTGAAGGAATTTAATGCAGTTGAGAGAGCAATAATGACCGACTGACTGAGTAACATGGTTGCTTGGATTCCCCATAAAACTAAATTAAATGATCGTCTGATATTTTTCCCTCCCTTGTTTCCCAGATCACATATGTTCCCAAAGTACCACCGAAGAAAAGATTCGTATCAAAATCATCCGTTGAAACAAGGCAGCTTCCAGGGCTTATTCTACTGTAATTTGAGATAGATAGAAATCTCACTTCGTCTGTATCTTTTAGTAAAAAATGGAAGCAACAAGAATGGGTTTTGGTCCTAGAAATCTCTCTCGTCTTCACAACGTTCCTCTCTGTCTCAAGACTAACCTCTCTCTGTTTCCTCGGCGTTGGCTTCGTAAGCACACTCTTTCCCTGAAACCGGAAACACGACACCATTTGGTTTGTGTTAGGGCTACTATGAGTAGTGATGATCTTGAGAGAACTCGCCCCTTGGCACACTTTTCTCCCACCATTTGGGGAGATCACTTCCTTTCTGTTCCCCTCGACCTCGCTGTAAGTACATAGAAAGCACTTGAGACCAAGATTTGTTGGTTCAGATCATAACATGATTCTTTTGTAGGAATTCGATGAATTCTCAAGAGAGATCGAAGTGATGAAGCCAAAAGTGAGAGACACTCTCATGTCTTCGAAAAATGGTGACAATGAGAGGTTTTGTCTCATCCATTTGCTAATGAACCTTGGAATCTCATATCATTTCGAGATCGAGATTGATGAGATCCTTAACAAAGCTTTTGGGAATCTAGAGGATATAATAGCTAATGAAGATGACTTAGTAACAATCTCCACCATGTTTGAGGTTTTCAGACTACGCGGTTACTATATGCCTTGCGGTAAGAATATAAGTTCCCTTGATCCAATATATATATATACACACACATGTATAATTTGGCTTTTGGCTTCCTTATAGATGCATTCAATAGATTCAAAGGGCGAGACGGGAAGTTCAAGGAAAGTCTAGCTGAGGATGTTAGAGGGATGCTACAATTGTACGAAGCAGCGCATCTCGGGACACCATCTGAAGATATAATAGACGAAGCACTGAGCTTCGCGCGGTATCATTTGGAGTCGTTGACAAGCCATCATGCAGCAAGTGCTACTCCCCATCTCTGTACGCATATACAAAATGCATTGTATAGAGCTCGATATCATAACTTGGAGATACTAGTCGCGAGAGAATATATCTCTTTCTACGGTCAAGAAGAAGATCACAACGAGACGCTGCTCAAGTTTGCAAAGCTTAACTTCAACTATTGCCAGCTACATTACATCCAAGAGCTAAAAGATCTGACCAAGTACGTTGTGGTAGTTCATTTCTTCAATCTTG